TGTCATGCCTAACATATTATAGTACATATGGGTGCCCAATAAATACTTGTGAGCCCGTAGGGTGGTTGTGTCATTGCTGTTATCTGTCTGAGGGCCGCACATATCTGGCTGTGTACATATCCTATCTGAAATCTGACATGTTAGCCACCCTCAAGCGGACCATGCTAAGGTTATCTCCTCTGAACAGTCAGATGAAGAGCTTTCCAAGATCACGCATAGCCCTTCCTGGTGCAGTCTGACTCCTGACCATTTCCAATGGTTTTCCCGCAGTCTAGGTGCTCCCCATTGTGGTTACTATTCCCTAAAGATGCCAAATATTTGCACTCTCCTACCTTTGCACATATTGTTCTCATTCCTTGAAACAATCTCCCTTTCCTCATCCTTCCTGTTCAACTCCTGCTCATCATTAAAGGTTAACTCCAACATCCCGTTCTTGGAAAAGACATTTGTTGATCTCTTCTTTCCTAAGGCTGACTTAGCTGCTCCTTTTTTCTCCCTCCATGTTTCCCCAAAGCCTTATGTTTATTTGCATATCTGTTTTCTCTGGTGGATTGCAAGCTCTCTGAGGACAAAATCCTGGGCTGATTCCTCTGTCTCCTCCACTCCCCCACTTGGCTGGGTCAAAGTATGGATTTTTGTTTTCAATGAATGTCTTTTTTTTTGGTACCAGGGATCGAACTCAGGACCTTGCGCTTGCAAGGCAGGTGGCAGCACCACTGAGCTAAATCCCCAGCCCTCAATGAATGTCATTTTATATGGCAACTCTAATCCTTTAGTGTACTTCTTTGACCATGTGCCCATTTCTCCACTGTTGTGAGGAGGTACCAATTTCTAAGTCATCTCAGGGTCTGTATTTTGTTTTTACTGGTGCTTTTTATCACTCTAGACTGTCTTAAGCTGACCTCCGCCTGGCCCTGGTTATCAGCTTCCCTTCTCCCTCAACCCTAGCACAATCATGTCCTTCAGTCATCAGGGATTAACTTCCAACCAATGCTGGGGGTGCAGAAGACAGAACCTGGGGGTGGGTGGAAGGAAGCATGCATGGGATAAGTGGCAAAGCTGGAAGTTGGACTGTGCCCATTTGAAAATGCCAGTGTGGCCAGTGATCCCTGCAATGGCCTGCCAAGAGGGCAGCTCTCAGGTCCAGAGCAAAGGTCCTTCTTTGGGAGTCCTTCACCTCCCCCGCTGCCCTGCCAGTGACACCCTTCAGCAGCAGCCAGGCTCCAGGATCTGCTCAGGTGGCACTTTGTTGGTTTAGTTACACTACAAGACTTCTGTTCCTGCCCCAGCTGTTACAGCCCACAGATTCCTGGTACCAACCTGATAAAACAACTTAATTAAATTGCAATAAAAGGAAAGTGGGCTGAATGTGCTTTATGGGAGAGGAGGCTAGAGTTGGAGTCCAGTGCCCCCTCTTGAGCCCAAGCCCTTTTCTGTCCCACCTGAAGGCCCTGGGCAGGCTGTAGCCGTGGAACCCAGAGCTCTGGTGTTGTGTTCTGAGCCCCTTAGAGGTTATCTATTCCACAAAGCTTGTTCATACTGGTCCCGCTCAGGGTGCTTCATACTCAAGTCCCCAAAGGATAGATGGGTGAACTGTCTAAGTCACCCAGCCTCTAGGACTCAGGGCTTAGCATTAGCCAGGGCCTGACTTACAACATCATGCAGGAGGAAGACTGGAAACACTGAGACCCACATTCTTGAGTAGCACACTCTTGGGACTCCAAACTGGTTTGTTTTTTAAAAACAAATAACAGTTACGAAATATAATTCATATAACATATAACTCACCTATTTAAAGTATTTTTAGTTTATTCACAGAGTCGTACAATCATCACCATTTTTTAATATTTTAACTACTCCAAAAAGAAAACCAATGTCCTTCAGCTATGGTCCCCAGTGGCTCCAGTAAGCAACCACTAATTCACTTGCTGTCTCTATTTGCCTTTTCTGAAAATTGGAAATGAACGGATTCATGAGATATATACTTTCTTGTGACTAGCTTCTTTTATTTAGCATACTATTCTTAAAATTGCATGTGTCAATTATATTTTAATACTATGTTGTGTGCCAATATTTCATTCCTCTCTATAGCCAAATAATATTACTTCATATGAATACATTTCATTTGAAAATTCTATCCATTTTGGGGCTGGGGATGTAGCTCATCACCACAGCACCGGCCTGCCAAGCGCAAGACTCTGAGTTCAATTCCCGGTACCAAAAAAGAAAAAAAAAAAAATCTATCCATTTAAATTGTACAACATGATGTCTTGACATACCACAGGTGGTTTATCCATTCATCAGCTGATGGACGTTTGGGCTGTTTCCACCTCTTGGCTATTGTGAATAATGCTGCTATAAACATTTATGTTTGAGTGTCTGCATGGATGTATGTTTTCAATTCTCTTGGATTGAAAAATCTATTTGTTCTTGCATCTTATTAACAATATCAGTACCAATACTGATGAAAAGCCTAAAACTTTATTGCACTCATTGACTGGTTTAAAAAAAATAGGGAGGAAGCTGCTAGCAAAAAGCACAGAGAAGCTAATTATTCTGCCCCCGGACACAGCATTGTGTAAGACTAGGGAGGAAAAAGTCACAGCTGGCACTCAAGAAAATTAGCCATCAAAACGTTTGTAATTTTCGGGAATAAAAAGGATACCAGGGCGCTTTTGTTTGAAATTCAGTAGAGAAAGATTTTTTAAATCAATGTCTATTTACATATACCATCATTTTTAACATGACCCAATTCATGACCCTGCCTTGTGTCATCTAATTCCTTGGCAAAGACCATGTCCCCCCATCTAGCGGAATTAAGTTCTCCCAATTATTTCTCCGCCTCACCAAGGGAACTCATGGCTTTGCTTTTGCAGCCTCAGACATGCGGGCTGGGTGACATTTTCAGAGACTTCTCTTTTGTCACAGCTGCAGCTCTCAGAGCTCTGTGTGGGGGAAATGCAGAGCTACACTGCACTCTGGTACCATACTGTCTGGGCATTCTGGCCCTCTCAGCATCTGTCACCATATGTGTGTGGCTAAGACTGACAGACGGAGGTTGTTATGGACACTGGTAAAATGAACCGTATGAAATTGCCAACATTCATTCATTTCTGACCTATAAAAGTGCTGATTTCTTGTGGCTCATGTGATTCAACCTGCCAATCTCTGATGTCCCCAACCTTTCCTTCTGGTGTTCTTCTCCATGGTACAGATACTATGCTCTGGGGAACTTTTTGCCCCTCCAGCCTACCCAGTCCAGATCCTGAGCTCTGGGAGGCTTGTCTGCCCTTCCAGGCTAGCTGGTCTTCCCACTTAATCTTCTAGCATGGCCATTCTGCAGCTGCTCAGCCTGGTGCCTGGAGGCATGTGTGGGAGACACTGGGAGACCATTGAGCTGAGAGTCACATCTACACCACACCCCTGGCTCCCCCACTCCCTTCCTGTCTCTCCGCTGGTCTCTGAGTCTACAACTTGCCCCTCTAATCCACACCCCATGCAAGTACAGATGTGCTCCTGCCAGCCTTGACTTCAAGTCTTGCAGTGACTTCCTATCACCTTGAACATATAAAGGTTGAATCCATTGACCCGGGCAGAAGACACAGCTTCAGCTCTGGCTGAAGACTTGCTTTCTGCTCCAGTGGTGCCTGACACTGCTTGCAGTCCTTGCTTGCAGGGTCCTGTGTTCTCACATCTCTATGCTTTGGCACCTGCTCCTCCTCCACCCGGAAGACCTCCAGCACAGCCCTCTCTCAGCTACTTCTGACTGATCTTACAAAACTATCTTCCAGGACTCTTCCCTGGGTTTCCAGTCTGTGTTAGGACTCCTTCCTCTCTGCTCCCATTTCCTTGTGCTTCTATATCTCTGGCGTCATAGTATTTTAAGTCAACTCTTTGCATATCTGTCTCTGTCTTCCTTTCCACAACTGGAGGCTCCTAACAGTATCATCTGATTCATCCTTCAACCTCAGATGCCAGGGTAGAAGAGTCACCAAACTCTAAGCAGTGATAGTGTGACTCAGTTTCCCTGTTTGGTGGAAAAAGACTAGAAGCTTAGGTCTTACTCTTCAGCCTTCTCTGAGCCTCATTTGCTCCTCGGGACAAACAGAGGTGGTTCTGAGGGATCTTCCAATTGATGCAGTCAAAGAAACCAAAATATGAATTCTCACTCTTCCAGAGCCACGCACTGGGATCCTGTGTGTGGACTCAAGAAAATAGATGGCAGGGGAAGTTTCCAAGGACTGCTGAGGATGATTATTTGCTGTTCTTCTTAAAGTTTTATTTTTAACTCAGCTAGTGTTTGCAGAACACCTACAATGCTAGTGCCAGTATTAGGCACAGGCGCCTGATGCAAAGTTGTAAATAACAGCTTCCCTGGATTCCGTGTGATTGCTGCATTACCAGCTCATCTACAAGTGCCTGCCCAACTGCTACCCCTCTTGTTGTTCATTTCCGCCAAGACTAGCGGGTGCGCTGGGCGAAGCTGGTCCAAGTCCTCAAATTTGTCGCTGCTCGCCCAGCCTGCATTCACCGCGAAGCCAGTTAGGGTCGCCGAGAGGGTCCTCGGCCGGGGCACCCTCTGGCGGCGGCGCGCGGAAGCTCTGGTCCGGCTTGGAGCTGGCCAGGGGAGGGGGAGGGAGGAGAGAGGAGGAGGCACGGGTAGGGGAGGAGAGGAAAAAGTTGCGCTGGGAAGTTTGGAAAGTTGGGAAGTGCCTGCTGCGGGCTTCGCCTCCCTCCGCGCGTGTGAGGGAGCGAACGGGGGAGCGAGAGAGGAGCGAGCGAGCGCCTGCCATGCCCATCAGACCCCGCCTCGTCGCGTCCAGGCGCAGAGCTCGCCCCGACTCCCAGCGGCCCGGCCCGGCCCGGCCCGGCGTTGCCCCGGCCCCCCGCCCCCCGCGCCGGGTCCTCCCCTCCCCCCATCCCAGCGGCCCCAGCCCCCCGCCCGGCCCGGATCCGCGCCGCTCTCCCGCCCTCCTCTACTCCCTCCCTCCCGGCCGCGGAGCAGCATGGCGGAGCCCGGGCAGCGGCCGCGCGGCCGCCCGCCGCCCCTCTGAGCCAGGCTCGGGGGCAACTGGGCGCCCCAGACCCGACCCCCGCGCCCCTGCGACCTCCACCGCACTTGTCCCACTGCGCACCCCCTGGAGCGCCGCGCACCCCTGGGACCCTTGCGCGCCCTGGGTGCCCAGCATAACCCGAGACGCCGCGCACCCCGGGATCTCGGTGCTGCCCTAGCAACCCCACGTGTCCCTGGACCCCAGCACAGCTCTGGGACCCCTGAGTGTCCCGGGACCTCCGCGCGCTCTCAGAGCCCCGACGCTCGGCCAACCGGGCTGCGAGCCCCGCCCCAGAGGGTCCCCCTCTTCAACAGACGGAGCCCCGCCCCAGAGGGACCCCCAGGTTCAACAGGGACATCCAGCCACGCCCCAGAGGGCTCCCAGCATCTCGCTGCTGGAGCCCCGCGCTCCAAAGGATCCTCCTCCGTACTAGCTGGGGGCTACCCGCCTTGCTGAGGGGGCGCCGCCCAGGAGGGTCCCCCGCTCCCCGCGGGCCCCGGCAGGATGCACGCCGCCCTGGCGGGGCCACTGCTCGCCGCTCTCCTCGCCACCACCCGCGCCCGCCCACAGCCCCCGGACGGAGGACAGTGCCGGCCGCCCGGATCGGTGAGCGAGCGCCTGCCCCGCCACTCTCCCGCCCGCGGTTCTGCCTGGACACTTAAGCCCGTGGGGCGATGGTTTGGGTCCCTCTTACTCGGCGCACCCGCTACACCTCTGCCCGCCAGGCACAGCCTCGAGCGTCCTTCTATCGCTACTCTCTGCCCAGGCTCCGAGCCGAGATGGGGCGCTCCCTCTCTCGCGTTCCTTCTCCACTCGCTGACGCTGACGTTCGGGCTCTCCTCTCGCCTTTGGTCTTGCTTGGACGTTTCCGCTTGGTGTACCCTTTTTGACTAAGTTCTCTCTGACTTTTATCCTGTCGTGACCTTCTCGTCTCTGTCCAATTCTGGCTCTATCTTCCCACATTTCTTGCCCTTCTCTTCTCGCAGAAGACCCTTTTGCCCTCTCATTCACACACTCTGCCCCTTCCCAGGGTCCCCTCCCTCTCCCAGCCCTCTTGTTTCTACCCAAGGCACACTTTCTCCCCAGTGCTGGTGCTGGTTCCCCTTCCTCTCTCCCTCTGAAGCCCATGCTTTACCATGACTGTTCAAGGTGCCCCTGTTTGGATCAATAGGGGGAAGACTCTAGAGGAGAGAAAAAGGAAATGCCAAGAGATGTTGGCCTAGTATTTCCCTGGGGGTTGAGGAATCTGGTCCTCCTAATTTCCTTCCAAAGTCAGGAATCCCTTGATTTTCACCAGTATCCTTTCCCTTAAGTGTAAGTTGGCACACTGGCAGTAACCCTGAATTGGAGGTCAGGAGACCAGAAAGCTGTGTTGTGGGGTTGGGTGCATTGCCTTGTTAGCAGGGAATTAGTTGACCTCGGGCAAGGTGCAGCTCCAGCAGCTGGCCTTGTGCAGAACAGGGGGGCTTGTTAGCTATAGGCACTCTTGCACTATCTTGAGTGTGCTGGGATTCACAACTTTTGCTGGTTAGTAAAGTAAAAAACTGTTCCCCCATTGACACTCCCCAGTACATATTTTTCATTTGTGCCAGAATCTGGCAGAAAAATGTTGAATTGATCTAAAGCTTGCAAGTGGTCACTGGGATTCTGGGGGGGGGGGGGTTCTGGATGGAAAATGGCTTTGCCTAAGAGAAATGATAGTCCCCTTTTATACTCCTTACTCCCTGGGCCTAATCTGGGTCCGGAGACATGGCCCTGATCTGCATGCCCCTACACACACACACACACACACACACACACACACACACTCCTACCTAGTGAGAGCTTAGGAGATAGAAAATGACAGAAATGGGGGTGGAGACCAGGTATACATTATTTGATGGAAGAGCTTGGAAAGCACCCACAATAATGTACATTTCTTGGGATTCCCTTCTGTGGAATCCTCGCCTCCCATACCAGAAATTAAGACTTTACTTGGCTTTGCAGGATTTTAAAGCACTTTCTCGTCTATGGTTTCAGCTGGTGGAGCAAAGTAGCTAACACCCCAGACCTGCCCTCCAAGAAGAAAACCGTATCCACCCTGATGAATGGGAAGTAGCTGTTGAAATAGGTGTGCTATTTTTAATAGGTGTTCTGCTTTCAAAGTACTCTTGGCATGTATCTTCTAATGGTTGGATTTTAAAGTTATATGACTTCCTTGCCAGAGCAGGACTCTCGGTCCCCTCTCCACACCCTGCACACAAAACACCACTGGTGAAGGTTTGGCTTGGCCAAGTCTGAATGTTCTCAGGTGGTGGGGTGCAGTGCTTGGCTCTCACAGTGAAAGCTGGTCATAATGAGAGCTTTTCTTCATTGCCCACTTCCTCTGTGTCTGGCACTGCCCTCAGGGCTCAGTATATATGCATCATGTCTTTTATTGCTCCCCACCAGCCGCCCCTGCTCCCACTTCCATTTGAGGAAACTGAGTCTGTGGGAAGTGAAATGATTCAGACCAGATCTTTCATCTAAAACATGGCAAAGCCAAGCTTTGAGTGTGGGTTTTTCAGCTTCCTTCCCCACTCCCCCCTGTTCCTGTCTGTGCCACCTCTGGCTCTCCTCTGCTGCCTTCAGCCTCACTGCATGGCCTGTCTTCTCTCCCCCTGCAGCAGAGGGACCTGAACTCCTTCCTGTGGACAATACGGCGCCATCCCCCGGCCTACCTGTTTGGCACCATCCACGTCCCTTATACCCGCGTCTGGGACTTCATCCCCGACAACTCCAAGGCAGCCTTCCAGGCCAGTGCCCGTGTCTACTTCGAGCTGGACCTGACAGACCCCTACACTGTCTCGGCGCTGGCCAGCTGCCAACTACTGCCACCTGGGGAGAACCTGCAGGATGTGCTGCCCCAGGAACTCTACTGGCGCCTGAAGCGCCACCTAGACTATGTGAAGTTGATGATGCCTTCCTGGATGACGCCCGCACAGCGGGGAAAAGGGCTCTATGCTGACTACCTGTTCAACGCTATCGCAGGCAACTGGGAGCGCAAGAGGCCTGTGTGGGTGATGCTCATGGTAAACTCACTCACAGAGACGGACGTGCGCTCCCGCGGCGTGCCTGTGCTGGACCTCTACCTGGCCCAGCAGGCTGAGAAGATGAAGAAGAGCACTGGTGCTGTGGAGCGAGTGGAGGAGCAGTGCCATCCACTCAATGGGCTCAACTTCTCTCAGGTAGGCCGCATGTGCCAACCTGGAGCTGGCAGCCTGGAAAGCCTGGCACCTTGCTCCTCTTCTCTGATTATTGTTTTCTTCCTCCAGTAGGCAGCCAGAGCCAGGTCCCTTCTCCAAAGGGAGAGGTCCTTTCGGGCCCAGGGCACCAGCTGGGGTGTTTTGGTAGGATGAAGGGAAACCGGTATGTGCTAGGATTTGATGTAAGAGTTTAGATGTTTGCTTCTATTTCAGTGGTTTCCTGTTGGGATATTCACTTTCCACCTGCTGTGCTTGCCTGAGCAGAAAGAATTTCCTTGGGAGCATCAGAGTGATCCAAAACTAAAAGGGAGTTGCCAGTCTGTGTCAGGCCTTGCAGGGCTCTGTTGTCTTGGGAGCAGGAGGCTCTTGTGAGGCTGTTGTGTGGACACGCTGGGTTGTGGGTCTGTAGGAAAGAGGGCCCAGGGTGGGGGGGAGATGTGGTGCCTGGGCTAGGCTGGCAGAGGAGGTGTCGTGAATCTGGTCTCTAGAAGCACTGGTTTGCTGTTTCAGATTAAGAGCTGCAGAGTTCTCTGGGCTTTGCTAAGCTCTGCAACCCTCGGACTGCCTCCCTACGACTGGGAGAAAGTTAGCAAGGAGACGTTGGGGGTTAATAATTTCAGAGAAATGTGTTTGCTTAAAGGTTGACAGTTCTGATTTCTGAACCTCAGAAGTGGGGGCAGGGAAAAGGGAGGGGCTTAAGAGGTTTAAAGTCTCCAGCTGCCAGAGACCTGAACCAGCAAAATGTCATTAAAGGCCTGTCTCCATGGGCAGAGGTCACTCCCAACTCACTGGCCCCAAACTCAACTCTGAGGCCCTGGGAACAATGAGTTCACATCTGTGCCTTGAGAACAGGACTGTCAATCCCTGGTGGGGGCTCCCAGGCCTCTGAGTGAGGCAAAGTCCTGAGACATGCCTGATCCCCATTAAGAAGACAACCCCACCAAATGACCAGGCCAGAAGCCCTACCAACAGAATCAGACCTGCCTGGTGCTCCTGAGATGTTGCAACCTCTTCACCAGGGAAACCGTGGCAGAAACTGATCTCCTTTCCGAGATCTCTGGCCTTTGTTTTTCCAGGGGAAATGCAATATTGTCCCCAGGGAGGTAAGAAGGCAGATTGACTTGCCGGCCAAATGAAAGGCGGGTTTGTCGGGTTTGTCGGTTCTCCTGCTGGCTCTCCCATAATTGTGGAGTCCTTACCCAGAGGGCCCCAGGGGCAGGAATATTGGGGCAGTTAGTCACGCCCTGCAGGGTTCTGACTATGCCTGACTCCTTCTCCACGGGGGAAAATCCCGCGTATTCTCTGGCCTGGTGCTGATTCCTCTGAACATAGCGGCTCTCTCCCTCTGAAGTGACTTTTCCCTTGCCAGGCTTGGGAGCTGATATCATCTGGGGTGGGGGGAGTGCTCACCGCCCATCTCATTTTGGAGGCAGGTTTGTGGGGGGCCTCTCTGCTCAGAGGCCTCACGTCGGGCCTCGATATCTTTTTTAGGTTGGAGAGGTGGGGGATCCAGCGTCACTCTCAACGCCCTCTTTGTACCAACCACAGAGGAATCCAACAAGGGCTGAAGGGAGCACTCGAGCTCTCTGGTTAAACAGCCCCTGGCTTTAATCTGTCTCTCTTAAAACAACAAAACTATCTTTCTTCGGAGTCTGGAAATGCTGCTGTTCAACCAAATGAGGGCTCTGGTAGGGTGAAAACATTTGCTGGAAAGTGTGTGAGGTTATGCTTTAGGAAAAGTTCCTGAGAGCCATTCATCGGCCAGCAAGGAGCCTGCTGACAGTCTCCAAAGCCCATGCTTGAAGATCAAATAGACCCTGATTTGTTTTTAAAATGCACCCACCCCATCACCACCCTGGGCCAGCTCCTCAAATTGTTCTTGGGTCTAACTCTTTGAAAGGGCCGCAGAAAGCAAGTCCCGAACGAAAGAAAAACAGGACTCCTCTTGGTTTGCCTTAATCTACAGACCCTTCACCACCTGCCGGAACGTCCAACTGCACCAATTTGTCCTGTTATCATTTTGGAGGGAGGTGATGAAATACCTCTTCCAAGCCCTTGGGCAGCCTTGAACTAACTGAAAAGGGTGGAATTCCAGAACCTGGGTAGATGGGTTGTTAAGGATCCCAAAACCCAAAGTCAGAAATGCAACAGCCCTCTCAGTAAAATTGCATGCGCATATGCACTGTTTGATATGAACATCTGTGATACATTATTGTACTAAAATATCTGCTAAGTGCATCAGATTTTTATTTTTTCTTTCCTCGAAGCATTACTATTATTGCAAAATATTTGGGTCGGGGGGTAGTGAAAGAGGAAGGCAAAAGAAGAAGGCTTAAAATAGTGCCTTTCTGTTAAGGCCTAGGAGCTTAGTTTTAATTTTGGTGTTTTAAAATTTATATGTATATATATTTTTTTCTGGACAGAAGTACCACATTTTTACTTGTTCAGGAGTGAGAGAGAATTTAAGTTTAGGACTTCAGAGGCTGGAGGAGCCACTGAAGAGCTTGGAAGACTGATAACTGCACAGCTTTCACAACTTGTGAGATCAGATCTATTGATAAGTTGTGATCTTTGATTTCAGTTTATTTTAACTGAAGGTGCTAGACCTAGCATCACCATGACTTTACCTTATGACCTTGGGCAAGTCAATTCCTCTCTCTAGGCCCTGTTTTCTCTGTTTGTGAAATGAGACACCAGGATTAGGTCATCTTTCAAGCCTCTTCCAGCCCTGACATTCCATAGGATGATTCTAATCAATTCCACGTGCAGAGCACCCTGTAGGAAGCTCTTCATACATTTCCATTTCATTGAATTCTCACAGCAACCTTATGGCTTTCTAAAGTGGGCATGCGGAAAGGTTGGATGACTTGCCCAAGATCACATGGCTAATAAGGAACAGAGCCATCTGCTGGACTCCAAATGTAGGCTGTACTCTTCCTGCCATCTTATGTTTTCTCTAGACTTCCTCCTATCTAGTATCTTCCTGCAATTCTCCCTTTACTTCTTTCTTCTGTTTTCTGTCTCCTTCTAGGGTTGAAGACTTAATGTTTTATTTCTTGGCAAATTTGTACTTGTAGAGAAATTATTTCCTTTAACTGAGGCTGGAGTGGGGATGGTAAACGGGGGTCTCTAAAGTTCTTCCTGATGTGTAGTAGACAGCTCAGGATGGTGGGCTGGAGATAGGAGACTTGTCTATAGTCTTGGGCAAGACTTGGTGTCCCTACCTATTCAGTGGAGCAGTAGTTAGCAGCTTTCAAAGCTGAGCTAATATTGGAAGGACATGGAGTACCTAGGGCACATGATGTATCTTGGTCCTTATTTTTTTCCCCATTCCCTTGCCCTCCCTTCACCCGCTCCACCCTTCTGATTTTGGTTTTTAAGACTCAGATGTCATTATTTGATCAGTTGTGGGAGGGGAGTTGGAGCTGGGAGGTGTCTTCATTTATTGCTAAAAAAAGGCATAATAGAGAAAGATAATTTAAAAGTGCTAAACCTGACTTTTTCCCTGGCTTATAAATTGGATCTGAAGGTAATCCTAAAATGAGAGTTTCCAAAGACATTCTGGGCACCAGCTACCTCCCTAGAATGTACCCAGCTTTCCAGGGGACCACTGTGAAGATCCCCCACCCCAGATAGGCTAAGCTTACACAGTCAAATAAAGAAAGGCCTCCTCAGTTTATAACCAGAGCTTCTATATCTATACAACAGAGGCTCAGCAAGTATTAGTAAGTGTACAAGAAATATTTACAGAATGAATGAATGAATGAATGAACATTTGTTAGAAACCATGATATGACCATCTAGCACTGTTGTATGCTACAATGAGGAGCCCCCTTCTTGAACTTAAATAGCTCCCTGCCTTTGTACAAGGACACAAAATATCAAAATCATAAATAGATTGTCTTAGTTCACCTGGGATGCTATAACAAAATACCTTATACTAGGTCATTTATAAACAGTAGTCATTTATTGCTCACCGTTCTGGAGACTGAGAAGTCCAAGATGAAGGTGCCAGCAGATGTAATCTCTGGAGAGGGCCCGTTCTTCATAGGTGGGCCTTGTCTGTATCCTCACATGGCAGAAGGAGAAAAGGATTAACTAAGCACTAATTCATGAGGACTCTGCTTCCAGAGGTCCCCCATCTCTTAATACCATCACCTTGACATGTCAGCCTGTGAACTCTGGAGGGACATTCACATTTACACCACAGTATGAAGTTCACATTCAAGGCAGACGTCAATCCTTACCCCACCACTACCTCGTCTGTGACTATGGGCTGCTCCTTTTCTCTCTCTGGACCTAAATTGCCCCTTTGTCCCATGAGAACACTAGGCTAGGTGATTTCCAGTGCTAGCCCAGTTTTGCTTCTCTGATGTTCTTCTGTTGTCCTGCACATCTTGGAGGGTTTCGGCCAACCTACCCTGAGACTTTGAGCCTGAGTTATCTGTCCTTGACAGGATTGTCTTTGGCGGACTGCTGCTGATACCTACTTGTCCAGAAGCCTGTTGGTTCCGGTGGGTGATCCTGCTGCCAGTCTGCAGAACAGAGAGCCCCAGCTTGTTGCAGCACAGTCTACTGGCCACCTGCCCAGGCTTGATCCTCTCCTTCATTACAGTTCCTGTCCCTCCTTCACTTCCTCATGCACTCAACCAGAGCCCCTCATCGCCTTGTGCCAGTGCAGGATCTGAGAAACAACACCTGGGTATAGTTTTTGCCTGTAGCTCATTACATGAGAGTGTGCATTACTTTTATACCCTGAGAGGTACATATTACTAGTCCTGTTTTACAGCTGTGGAAACTGAGGCACAGAACACCTGATTATTAGTTTGTCCCATGTCCTGGTTCCTTATCTTCATATAGAGTCCCTGTTCTTCATCTTCCTGCCATATACTCCCGTCTTTGAGAGCCATTCTCTAATTTCCTGTCCTCCAAGCATGACTACTCCTGAGTGCTTCAGCACTGTTTGAGCCTCCATGGCAGCGTTAGCCCCTCCCATGGGGCCTCCTGTGAGATCCAAGTGTTCTCCTCAGAGAGAAGGGAGCAAGTCCCCTTCCCAGACAGCTGGGCACCACTGAAGGACCTCAGTCCATGCTAAGCCCTCTTCTCCCCAGAAGTCACCCAGAGTGAGAGCCCTCAGTCAGGACTGAATTAGCACAGGCTGGCCTCGGCTCCAGCATGCAAGTCCAGAACTTGGACTGGAAGGCACACTTCCTCTGGTCCCAGCTGTGCTTCTGCTGCCCATCACTCCCAGCACACCTCCCACACAGAGCCCTGTGGCTGGGAGCTGTCACCCAAGTGTCTGTCATAAGGTGTGGAAGCCCCTCTGGTGGCCCCTGGGCAGGTGTATACTCAGATTCCTTCTGAACCTGAAGGCTGTTTGCACAGATGTCCTCCTGGCATGGCAGTCTCTATCTGTCCCTCTGTGTGACCTGGTTGATTTGGGTCTTAACATCTGAACAGAGTGGGGAAACTCCAAAGCAAGAGTAGAGGATGGTTTGGCCTCCTCCAGAGGAGGTGGGAGGAGAGTGAGGCCCTAAAGCCAGACATGATAAAGAAATCGTAAAATCTCTAGGCTCAAATCAGAAGTTCACAGCAAGGAGACTTCCAGGCTTAGAGACTCTCTATCCATAAGCCCAAACCCTGAGGCTTAAGGAATCCAAAAATGGTGAAATCTTAGAACATTGGGCTCAAAGGCATTTTTGAACTAGAAGGATCCTCACGTCATGAAATTCTAGCTTCTAATTTTCAGCTCGTAGACACAGACTTCTAAAATCTTAGAGTTGGAAGGGACTGATGCTTAAGAATTCCAAGAAGCCCCATCTGCAAACATGTTGTCTGATCTCCTTCCCCCAGCTCGCTCTCCGATCCCTGGCCAGAGAGAAAAAGCTATACAGGCAGCAAAGCACTTTCTGATGGAGATAAAAATGGGAGCATGCCTTTGTTAATAGTTCCCATTTGGATGTCTTTCAAAGCCAGGAAGAGGTCGCATGGTACAGCAGCTTTCCTAGGGAGGAAACAAGAATGCCGGCAAGCGCCAAAGTCTGCCAGCCGGACTGCTGACGTTCTTTTCCCCTTGAGTTTGCTTCTAAATATTATCCACTTCACTCCCTTTTATCTCCCATCACTGGCTCTCTGTCCACCCACTTAATCCACAGCCAGCTAGTGGCCCAGTCTGCAGTTTTGCGTAGCGGCTGCCAAGCTGTCTCGCTGGGCCCCTCCTCCAGGATCCACAGGCTTTTAAATCTGTGCAGTGTATCCGCTGCCACACGGGACTGTTGCCCCAAGCTTGGAAATGCCATTGCTTGGGCTAGGACCCCTCCCTCTCCAGGAATTTCCTCCTTTTCTCTCTTCTGAATCCTGAGATTTTCAAGGCTCAGTTTAAGGTTGTACCTCCTCCAGGAAGGCTTCCTAGGATGTTCCCAGTTCTAATCTGCTCAGGAGGACTTGGTCCAGAGCTTTCCTTAGTGACCCAGCCACATGTATTTCCACCCCCTGTGGATTTCTCTCTAGCATTTTATGACATTCTTTCAGCAGTTATATATTTTACTTTATTATTATTACTTAAGCAGTCTTTCTTGATTCTAACCTAGCTTCATATGTGCTCACCATTTATTACTAAATTGGGCTGAATGTGCTCCAGCTCTGAAGGGGGGATTTGTGGTGTGTTCTATGGTTGGGGTGTTGGCAGCTGTGGATGCTAAAGAGGAAGGATCTCTTGGCCTATGTGTCGCAGAAACCCCTCCAACTTCCCACCTGAGACAAATTCAGTCCTTTCAGTACAGACTCCAGTGCACTTGATCAGGCCTTTGTAGCATTCATGAGTCTCGGTTGGACTTGTCACTCTGTGCCATCCTGTGATATTTTGTTGTTCTCTCTTGTTCACTTCTGAACAAAGCCCCCCGCCCCCTTCCCCTCCTCTTTACTACCTGGAGCTCACAAACCTGCCAAGGCTCACTGTATTTTAAAATGTCTACCTTTAGCACTTGGTTACTTGGTCTATTAGTCAACTTTTCAGATGCTGGATAAAATACCTGGCACCTGCAACGTAGGGGAAGGGAGGTTTATTTGGCTCATAGTTTCATAGAATTCAGCACTTGGCTGGTTGGTTTCAAGGTAGCAACATCATGGAGCAAAGCTGCTTAGTTCATGGTGACCAGGAAGCAGAGCAGGGAACTAATTCCAGGGAGAAAGCAGGGATCAGACATAAACCCCAAGGTCATGCCTCCAGGACCCACCTAGAC